AATACTGAGATTTTCTCACACAATTTAGAATACTAGCTTTTATTTGAAATACGATTCAAAGCCATAACATTTTAATACGCAACCCATACTTTGAAACTTATAGGAACATTATAGAATTTGATTCTAAGAGAGAAAGTTTAGCCAACATACTTCAATTGAGCTTCCTTTAAACTCTAAAATGTTCTAGAAATCTTAGCAACTTCAATCTATTTTAGAAATATAACAAGTTAGACCAAAAATTAGGAAGATGGCCATGATTCTAGCTCATTTGAGCATATTATCAAACACTAGGTGTGCATCAATATTTTAAGGCCCTATTGTGGACGATTCCATCATTCCCCAACCCATTCTCTATCATTTTTAGCTCACAACCTTCCTGCATACTTCAAGAATACATGCATGCAAGACAACAACCCACACACCTAAAAATTGTCTCTCTAGTTATCCCATTTTTTGTAAATTTTCGAAATTGAGAGCTAGGACATAGATTCTTACCTTTAGGATGAAGACTTCCTTTGTTAATCCTTACTGATTGAGCAAGAATTGATGGATAATAGGTTGAAGGTTACTCCCCCACTCTAAGAACTCTCTCTCACTCTAAAAATATCAGAAATGTGCTCAAAATGGGCTATGGCATATGTTTTAACGAAGAAGGGTCGGGTTTACAAACCCCTAAAATGAAGTCTCGGGACAGGATATGCGGCCGCATATTCGATCGCAGAATGGATATGCGGTTCGCATATCGGCCGCACAAATTGGGTGCCAAGACTGGAAAGAAACTGACTGAGTCTGCGGTCACTATGCAGCCCGCAGACCTATTCTGCGGTCGCATAATGCGCCGCAAAACCTCCATCCACAAAACTCCAAGGCTGATTGTGTGACAAGAGTGTGGCCCGCAAAATGGTTATGCGGTCGCATAATGGGTCGCGAAAATGACATCAAAATGACCCAGAAAAATTGCCTCACTCTGCAGCTAAATATTTTTCTTTAACTCCCCAGCGCACTGTTCAATCCAAAAGTCTGAACGACGACTCGCAAGCTCACCGCGAAGAATTTCTACTATTATTAACCTCTACGCCTGCCCCGGCATCACAGAACCCCGATTTTTAGAAAAATTTTCACGGGGCCTTACAGATCAGATCTCATTAGCTTCGGGAACCGTGCTTCTTTAATATTCCTCATAGCCAGCACCAGCTCTACTATGCTGATGTCAAAGTTATATTTGGAAGGCCTGGGGCAGGAAGAATCTTGAGAACCTCATGTCTCTTTGTCCTGCAATGATCTATTATTCCTGTCGCGATCAGCTCTCCTATCGGTAGTGAATCTATCTGCGGACCTAAAACCTCTACCGCGTCCTTCGGCCCGTTCATAAGGCAAAAACTGACCCCTTGAAGACCGTCGATCTGTGTCGAAATCATCCTTTAATTTCTCTTTATTCTTCTCCCGGTCCCGACCTTTGGCCGACGCCGGGAAGCCGAGCTGATCATCCTCAATTCTTATCTTTGACTCGTACCGGTTGTGAACATCCGCCCATGTTATTTCCTGGAACTCGAGCAGATTCTTTCAATTTTCGGGAAGCATCAGAACTTCTCTGATTCAGCCCTTTAGTAAATGCTTTTGCTGCCCATTCATCTGGTACGGCCGGAAGTAGCATCCTTTCTTTCTGGAATCGGGTCACGAATTCCCGTAATAATTCAGACTCTCTTTGTGCAATCCTGAATATGTTGGCCTTTCGGGTACCTTTCTGGCCCCGGAATAGGCCTTGATTAAAGAGTCCACGAGCATCTCGAAGGAATCTATGGAGTGCTTGGGTAGGAGCGAATACCATGTCAGGGCCCCCTTCGTGAGGGTCTCCCTGAATTTCTTCAATTAGACTAACTCAATCTCATGCGGAGCTAAATCGTTTCCCTTCACCGCCATTGTATAGGTGGTTATATGCTCCTGAGGATCTGGAGTTCCATCAGATTTCGGCACATCTGGCATTTTGAACCGCTTCGGGATCAACTCTGGTGTCGCACTTGGTTTGAATAGCAATTGGGTGTACTTCTTTGAGTCCGGTCCTTTCAACATTGGTGATGCGCTCGGAGTTTTGATATATCCGAGCATTTATTTCACTCGTAAATTGCATGAGTTCAGTTTTAAAGGGATCACACTCATTGTTGTTACCAGATCCGCTACCGTTCCCCCCGACCCTGTCAAAGCCGACTTCGCCCCTCAGGGTTTTTTATCGACCCTCTGCGTTGATTTGCGGGAGCACCAGGAGGAACTGGACCTCGTCCATTCGCGTTATTGGAAGCACCCGACAATACCTGCCTTAACTCTGTTATGACTTGATCATGCCGTGAGAGATGGCCCATAATGGCCTTTTGTTGCTCCCTCAGGATCCTTACTATTTCAACGATGTGCTCGTCTTCAGCGGCATCAGGAGTTTCCTCTAGAACATGTCGTGGATATTGCTCGCCATGAACCGGCGTGGCCTTATCCCCCTCATTGCGAGTATCGCTGATGGAATCTTCGTGCTGAGGCTGATTTCCTTGGGCTTCAACGTTTTGTGCGATGCTGACATCGTTATCTGCCATTTTTTTATGATTTTTGCTAAGAACAAAGAATCAAACAAGTTAGTAATAGATGCAAGGATCAATTCAATTACACAACTGTCTAAGCTCCACGGTGGGTACCAAACTGTTTACCCCTAAAACGATACAGTTGAATTTATACGTGGTTTATAGACAAGTGAATTGATTTGATCCTATAATGATAAATAAATTAAATAAGAAATTAAAATATAGTGTTGAAATCGAGATAAGACAATAAAGATCTTGATTCCAGGAGCAGAGCTTCTGGAGGCAGTAATAATATTAATAAGAAAGAAGGTAAAATATTATTAAGCTTTTAAACAGAGTATAGTATCAGCTTTGTCAGAAAATTCGTGTCTTTTACAATGGCTGTAGAGCTCACTATTTATAGTTGCGCCTAGGGAACAAGGTCCTAGGATCAAGCCCCTCTTAAATGACAATTATGAGGGTCATTGAAGAATGTGTATTGGTAGGCAATGAATGCCATATTCTCTATAACAGACCATGCATTTAATGCTATAGAATATTCTCCATTAAATGCTACTGGGTGACAGGTTATTTAATTCGGCTTTATGAATACCATTCTCTTCGAGATTGTTGCCTTTGGACCTGCTTGTCTTCTGTCTTTGGCTCCACATCTCACTTTCTCATGCAATCATTTAATATGAACATATTTTATCCTATACAAGGTGTCTGCTATAGAAGGCATCAACTTCTCCACTTGCGGCCGGAATGGCTACTTTTGCGGGCTGCACGAGATGGATTACGAAGTACACTGTGGGACTACCGAGCGCACTGGTTTCTTCTCTCCTTTAGATTCTAATTTGAGTTATTTAATTCATGTTGTCCCTCAATCACTCACCATAAATGCGTTATAATTAGATATTATACTATAATATAGCAAACATGCATTACTATACGGCTAAAATTATCACTTACCAGAGACAAACCCTAGAATATAAGGATTTAGGGTGGAGCAGGACTAAGACATAATACTTAGAGTGCAAGTTTAGTAACATGACTCATGAAGATGAAGTGGAAGTGAGGCTTGATACACAAGTCATCCGTAAGAAAGGAAGTTTCAAGTATCTTCAGTCAATAATCCAAGGTAATGGGAAGATTGGCGAGGATGTCATACATCGTATTTGAGCAGGGGTGGATAAAATGAAGGCTCACAACCTGATGTCTTGTGTGATAAGAATGTATCACCAAGACTTAAAGGTAAGTTCTATAGAGTGGTTACTAGACCGACTATGTTGTGTGGGATGGAGTCTTTGCCAGTCAAGAACTCGCATGTTCAAAAGTTAAAAGTAGCGGAAATAAGAATACTGAGATGGATATGTGGGATACCAAGAGAGATAAATTAGGAATAAGGATATTCGGGACAAGGTGAGAGTGGCTCATGTGGTGGATAAGATGTGGAAAGTGAGGCTGAGATGGTTCAGACATGTGAAGAGAAGGTTCCTAGATACCCAGTGAGAATGTGTGAGAGGTTGACCATAGTGGGTCTGATGAGAGGTAGATGTAGCCAAAGAAGTATTGTGGAGATGTGATAAGGCAGGACATGACATATTTGCAGCTTACCGAGGACATGACCCTTGATAGGAGATTATGTAGGTCGAGAATTAGGGTAAAGAGTTAGTAGGTAGTCGAGCTTTTCCCTTTTTTTATACCTGTAGTATCATTATTTTTCGCGAATTTTCTTACACTTAGATTTCTATTACTGCTAGTTATATATGTTGCTTTGGTTATCTTATTATTATGCCGTTGTTACTGCTTTTTGTTACTGTTTTTTTTTCATGGCTTCCTCGATACTATATTTCTTTTCAACTATGCTGTAACTATGCTTTTACTAAGTTGATGGTCTATCAGAAACAACCTCTCTACCTCCACAAGACAGAAGTAATGCCTGCATACACAAAATCCTCCCCAAAACCTATTTGTCGGATTATATTGGTTTGCCGTTGTTGTTGATAGAGACCAAAATGCTTATTTTTGACAAGTAGAGGATCGATACTGCTCAAGAGTATATTTAATGGACTGGTTTTAATCTACCTCCAAACGTGGGGGATCATTTTTGTTATTTCCCCTGCAAAGTTCTCATAATATATAGCCCGATTGACTTAAAAAATATGGCATTTTCAAAAAGCAATAAGTTGGTATTGTTGTAACTTATTGCTTTTGGTTTGTTTTAAACATACAAGAATGTGTTGCTCTAGTGGTAAGCACACTAAGAGTTTGTGAGTTCGAGTCACCCTATAAATAAAATGAATAGTTGTTGGAGGGCGGGAATCGAGTTTCTATCAGAAACAGTGTCGAGGTTCTATTGGAATTAGTGGCTTGTTGTTGTTGGTTTGTTTTTAATTTATTTTAATCACTTTTGAACTTTGCCCGTAAACCAGTTTAAAGCCAATCGAAACAACCTCATAAAACCAAACCGGCAAAACTTCCGTAAAAAATAAAAGCGTTTCGTCAGCGTCAATGGAGAAGGAAGCAGAATCAAGGCGAAAGAGAGAGGTGGATATAACAGTGCTAGAGAAGGTTGGTCAGGTCACTGCCTCTATCAAAGATGCCAAACACGTCGACCAAGTCATTTGCGCTCTTCATTCCCTCGCCCTTCTTCTCTTCCCTCTCGACTCCCACTCCGTCGCAGGTGCGATTAAAAAAACTCATACCAGTACTAACGAGAAAATAAAGTTAATTATTGGGCAATAATCCTCTATTTTTGGGCAATTCTATAGGTAGTGTTAACGAGCAGTACAGGGAACAGGTACTACGCTGTACATGCTATTTTTTATTGGTTTCTTTTTCTTATAATGTTTTAATTGTTTTTACTAAAGTTAACAAGTTTGAGACTCCCGGCTACACACGAGAGAGATGAATGGTGGCAGATTTTCTACAAAGGCCCTGCATTTTCAACATTGGCCAGGGTTTTGTTATATGGTAAGTTTGATAGTCCTGGATAATTAGTCAAATGATAAGATCCCTTTCTTTATAACATGAATTGAAAATAACAGTGCCATACTTCTTAGCACTGTAGTTATAGCTTAATTCTTTAGTTTTTATGGGTCTGTTTTTGTGTATGGGATGAGAAAAACATTAAAACCTAGATTAAGAAGTAATTGTGAATGCAATTTTTACTTTCCTTGATACATGTTGCTCGTTGTGTTTGTTGTATTCAATTCTCTCTTTGCACAGTTAGATTTGTTTTTACTTTGACATATTATTGGAATAATCATTGTTGTAATGATGCTTTTGCGTAAATTGATATGCTTCCTTATACAGAGAGCGAGGCTCGCATTATCATTTTAATGTCTTAGCTCTCGCTTGGTTAGTTGTTTAATAACGTCACTAATATTTTTTTTTGCAGATGTGGCTTTTGATTGGCTGGCATGTATCCCCATTTCTGTGAGGATGCACGTCTATGATGTGTTCTTTTTGAGAGGACAAGTCATTGAGGTTGTTCAAAAACTGGTTCCTTGTCTGCAATGGAGAAGTAGTAGTGATCATGGAACCTGTGCCGTCCACTCAAATGCTGAAAGGTAGCAAAACATCTTCCACTTTGTGTATGTGGTTCATAGAGTTGCTATTTTAGTACGTGTCATCTCTTTTTGCGTGGCGAATTCAGGCCAAACTGAGAATGCAGTCTTAACAATTTTCTGAACATGCCCATGGAATAATTTTTTCATTGTCATTTTTTTTGCAATATATTTCACTAAATCAGACCATGAAGAATAGAAGTCTAGAAATGTGTAGGTGCAAGACTGTTACGTCATGTAGGCAATTATCACTCCAGAAATAGTTCGGATCAAAACTGAACGTGTTTATTTAGTTATAGTCTCAAACTTGGTGGGCAGCTATACAAGATGTGATCGGTTTTATTGATGGTGTGAGTGTTAGGACATTGCTTTGTTCTGCCTAGCGCATGTTCTGCTCGTCTTGCCGGAATGCTTTTCTTGCTCATTTTGGTGCAATGTTTGAGTATTATCTTGATCGCCGATGTCTAATTCATACAAAGAATATGTAGACTTGTTTGATGGTGCAACACTCTCCCTCCTGAGATATGCTCACAAAGTAATGGCATAACTTCTCATATTTTGAGCTTTGCGTGCAGATTGCTTGTGCTTTGTTTGCTTGAAAATAAGGGAGTTACCCAGATTGCTCGAGAATTGTATACTTTCTCTCATGATCTTGCCCAAGAAGAGCTAAAGCAGATTATATCCCGGGTGGTCCAACTCCTTACGTCTATACCTGATAAAGCACAAGCGGGAACCCCTAATGCATTATCATCACAGTATCCTTTTTGTTTTCTTCTTTGGGGTAAATTTGCCTCTGACTAGGTTATTTGCTTTTATGCATTAAGTACTTGTTGAATCTATCGTGATTTTGAGTTGATCTCCGCAAAATGAGCTGGAAAATTTTCAATCGTCTTTTTGTTATGGGCGGAGAGAACTTAACGGCAGCTCTCTCTCT